CGAAAGTTATGTTTGTCCAATCAGTGCCCTTTTAAATTTTAGCAACTCCCCGAGAGCGACTGGTCTCGGAGAGGACGTGATTGTTTTATGACACGGTCGAAGGGTTTCCGCCGCCTTCGACGACACAACGGAAATTCCTCCAGGTCAACTCACGGTAGCCTCGAGTACCGTGTTACGCACTCGGCTCGAGATGACCCTTCGGAAATCCTAGGTTTACGACACATTATGGTTGGTGGAATAGCCGAAAATTAGTTTTGGAGGCCGGATGGTCGCCAGACGTAAAAAAGGTCTTTATCCTATTGTCGAATCCGTGTCGTAAACCTGGTCGACGAAAACTCGACGGAATTTGTTCTTCCGTGCCGGAGCAAATGTGCGGCGCAGATGTGCTGTGGAGTGTCTGATTACTTGTTTTATGGGTTGAAAAATGCGGATAGTTGTACTGGCATGAAACGTTCTACGAGAACGGAACATGCTCTACACACATTCATATAAAGAATCGGGAGTATCTCGCTTCGGGGAGCGAGACGGACAACGGGAGTTAGGAGGCGTAGTCCTCGCGAACCTCGTGTTGCGTGCTGGTTAATTACGAGCCTTGATTTATACCATTAAAAATCTGACGACCGCTAACCTGTGTACCATACACTTTGCACTTGGAACAAAGACGATGAGACATCCGCCCTTCGTGATTAACAATAAAGTTAAACTATTGTTTATGACAGTATTAACTAATAGTAAACTATTGTAGTAGTAAACTATTGTTTCTAACTAAACTATTGTTTTCCTTAGGGTACCAAAATTTGTCGACCTTTTACGGTATGTTCCCGTAAATATTAACGAGAGAATATCCAAATGCAAGTTTCAATGTGCGGAACTTATTGATCCAAAAGTTATACGTATCTCAAATTGACGAACTTTCATCGTTTTTGATAAATTTCTAGATTTATCATAGGTTTCCAAGACTGGAAAAACAGTAAGAAAGCTCTAAAATAGGATCACATATCTTCGATGTTTAAGCTGAAAAAAATATTTTCTGTTATTGATAAATTAATCAATTTCTTGACAAAAGCAACGGAAACAGATGCCACGTATTGGCGAAAGATATTGAAGCGCATTGTTGCAACAGTAACATTAATGGCAGTTTTTAAGCTGCATAGAGTATCTTGCGGAATTTGATAATTTCTTGAAAGAACTTTTTTGATAAACTCAGATTGCAAGGAGGGTGTGTAGTAAGTTATTTATCCCCCTCTACATACAGTGGGCTATAAAAGTTTTCGCTCACCTTTTAAAATGCAATAACTTTTTGAGAACTGAACTAGATGTCTTACATTTTTTTTAGATGACAGAGAGACTAGTCTATTAGACGATAACTGAAATGCTTTTTGTTTTAATTTTGTTATTACTTGGAATGGTAAAAAAGTGAAAATCTCTCATTTTTTAAGTTTTTTATCTGAACCGATAACGAAAATTTAAAAAATGTCTTCCGTAGATCTCGGTAACTTATATGCATATTGAAAATTTTGTCAAAATCGTTTCACTTTATTACGAGTTACAACAAAGTAACAAAAACTGCAAGAAATCTGCACTCTGATTTAACCGATTTCGATGAAATTTTCAGCACACATATAAGTTACCGAGATCTGTAAAAGACATTTTTTAAATTATTGTTATAGGTTCAGATAAAAAAGTAAAAAAACGAGGGTCTATAATTTTTTTTATTTCAAGTAATGGCAAAATTAAAAAAAAGTTTTTCTGTCATCGTCTAATAGACTAGACCCTCTGTCACCTTTGGCGGCGGTTCGAATGTCGTGGAAATGGAAAGGAGTGGGGAGACGTTTCGTCCGGGGCCCGCTAGAGGACTCATCGGTAAGGCTATCCTAGCGGGCCCTTGCCTTAGACGTAAGGGTAGGACGAAGTCTCGGTGTATATATAGGGATCGGAACGGATCGGCTACTAGCGGGAAGAGGAGCCCTCTGCTGGCAGGTCTGGAGGTAGCCGCCACACACCTAAAAAAAATGCAAGTCATTTAGTTCAGTTCTCAAAAAGTTATTGCGTTTTAAAAGGTGAGCGAACACTTTTGTGGCCCACAAATTTGTTGGACTTATGGCAGCAAATGTTAAAAATCATTTAATAAGTGCAAAATAAGCAAATCATTTAATAAAAAAGTTTAATAAGCAAATCATTTAAAAGCCATTCATTTTTTAAATAATAGTAGACTCAACACCAGATGTAACACATGTGGACAATTAACAAATATATCGAGTTAAAAACATAGTGACTTATGTCACTTTCAAAATAAACGGCTCATATCAAGTTTTACATCATGTCCAATAATGCGAACACTGATAAATATACACTTTGTCAGCACTATTTTGCAATTCGTTGCAACGAACGCTGGTTTCTGTCATGAAATGAAATGCACTCATGCCCAATGATAAAATCGAGACCAATGGCTTCGCGAAGACAAACTGCTAAGACATGAAGTTTTACACAAAAGTTAGACTGGAATAGCTAGAATATTTGGCGGTGGAAATTATGCATATTTAATTGAGCGCAACAGATGCTGCTGAACCAGTCTTTGAAGAAAAATGTTTGCGCACGTAAATCAACATTTCTATTTCGAGGTCGATGCAAGTCGACCTCTAAAGAATGTGTTCGTGGAAATGGTAACTAAAAATATATTATTTACAAACGGACAATTAAAATGGTATGATTTTTTCAAAACTTTTTATCTTTTATTTTTGTTTTACAGAGTTTCCAGACTTCTCCAAATTTTTTAATGATAATATCACGGTGGAAGAAAACGAAGACCATCAATCTTCAAAAGAAGTGTTCGAGGAAACAGTAAGTAAATAAATTATTTACTAATAGAAAGAAATTTTGTTCATTTAATTATTTTTTACAGAATATCGAAAATTGCATTGCGCAAAAGAAATTCATCAAACAATGGAGAAAGGAGTTGAGACAATTTCAAGTAGAAGATGAGGACTGAAACGATGAATACATATGTTCAATACACATCCTTTTTGTTCAGTAAGTATTTTTCTTATTATTAATTATTATTTTTTATTACTAATTATTATTATTTGTTGTAACAGATCA